ACGGTGTCAAAGGCTTTACTGAAGTACAGTAAAACCACGTCTACAGCCTTTTCCTCATCCACCAAGCGGGTCACTTTGTCATAGAAGGTGATAAGGTTTGTTTGGCAGGACCTGCCTTTCGTAAACCCATGTTGACTGGGCCTGATCACCTGGTTGTCCTGCATGTGCTGTGTGATAGCACTCAAGATCCATGATTTTCCCTGGAACCGAGGTCAGACTGACAGGTCGGTAGTTTCCTGGATCTTCCCTCCGACCCTTCTTGTAAATGGGTATAACATCAGCCAGTCTCCAGTCACGTGGAACTTCCCCAGTTAGCCAGGACTGCTGGTAGATAATGGAAAGGGGGTTGGCAAGAACGTCTGCCAGCTCCTTCAATGCCCTTGGGTGGATCCCATCCGGCCCCATGGACTTGGGAGTGTCCAATTGGCGAAGCAGGTCTCTAACCATTTCCTCATGGATCATGGGAGGGTTGTTCTGCTCTCCCTCTCCATCTTATGGCTCATGAGGATGAATGCCCAGGGGACATCCTACTTTACTATTAAAGACTGAGGCAAAGGGGGCATTAAGTACTTCAGCCTTGTCCTCATCACTGGTCACTATTGTTCCCTCTGTATCCAGTAAGGTCTGAAGATTTTCCCTGGCCCTCCTTTTACTGTTGATGTATTTGTAGAAATTTTTTTTATTATCTTTCACAGAATTGGCCAGGCTGAGTTCTAATTGCACTGAGAGGATCAGGCTGAGAGGATCAGGTAGGCAATACTTAAGCAAACTGGAGACGTCCCTCAAAATTTTTACATCTAGTAGGCAATAGTAACTCAGGTGTTTTGCAAGGCAAAATCTTCCCTTGATCTGTGTGTCATGCCAAGAAGTGATCTTTCTCTTTAAGCATCCTGCTGCTGGCCACCCCGTAATATCCTGGTCATATTAGAGGACCCACAAAACTTTGATTTTGAGCAGCTTTTTAAAAATGGGGGCAATAATCTTTGCAGCCCTTGATATCCAAAGGTTGGGGAAGGATGGTTAATTTCATGGGTAGAAGACTAAGGGTCTATGAAACCTAGCAGTGCAGCCCACCTGCATGTACAAGGTGTTGTTGGAGTGACCCTGTTGGGAGGGAGAGAAAGAGAAAGACATGGCCTGTCCCCATGCAAGGAAGCCCTTGGGTGACCAGCCAAGAATTGAGGGCCTCTTCCTGGCAATGTGTCCACAGGTAATCCCACCGGCGTGCCCTAGGCCAACGTGCCTTGCCTGCTCTGAACCCATCCAGCACACAAGCTGAGCCTTCTGCAGGCACTGACACATTCCTGCCCTGGAAATCCTGGGGCCTCTCAACCCCAACACTCAGAAGAAGCCTCATGATGGAATGGGTATGGCATAAGCCAGGAAATGAAAAGTCAGTGTCTGGAAAACAATCACCCAGCCCATGTCGTTACCTGGGATGTTTTCTGTTCATCATAAAAATCACCTTGCAAAATTGCCACTTGCACAGAAGCTAATTCCGGGCTCAGGGCACGTCTGGGATGCCATAAAAGCCAGCCCAACTCCTCGCTATCTCACCAAATTCTCTCGCCACCTTCTCCTTGGCAACCAGGTGGGTCTAAACCCCTTTTCTGATGACCATCATGTGGATGCATGTTCCTCCGTGATATGCTGGGTCATGGTGTTGCTTGAGAGGGGGAAGAAGGGTGAAGGTCTGACTCAGAGTATCCAGAACTTGCCTGAGGGGACTTCTATTTTAAGAGGTAGTCAGTGGTCTCATTGGGCCTAGCAAGGCTTGGTAGTCCTATGTCAGGATGAGGCCAAGAAACTCTTGTGTCTCTGCCCAGTTTCTACCTCCTGGCTCTGCAGGAGTTTCTGCAGGAAACACTCATGGCAGGGTGATAGACTCATGTCAGACTGCTCCTCACATGACCCTGTGCTCTGATTCCTCCCCACCCTCTCTCCCAGGTGCACCTCCAGCTCTGAGACATGTCCTGCTATGACTGGTGCCGGCCATGCCAGCCCTGCAGCCCAACCCCACTGGCCAACAGCTGCAACGAGCCCTGTGTCAGGCAGTGCCAGAGCCCCACTGTCATCATTGAGCCCCCTCCCGTGGTCGTGGCCCTGCCCGGCCCCATCCTCAGCTCCTTCCCACAGGACACTGTTGTGAGCTCCTCCACCTTCGCTGCTGTTGGCAGCATCCTCAGCTGTGGTGGAGTTCCCATCACCTCAGGGTGCTGTGACCACTCTGGTATTTCCAGCTGCTACTATGGCAGAAGGTGCCCTCCTTGCTAAAGCTACTGGTGACAGCCCTGACGAGCATCCCCAGGAAACCAAAAGCTGATGCTGGACAGCTGATGCTGGACAGAGCTCCTGGCCATTCACTTCAGAGAGGCTGAGCATCCCATGATTCCCTTCCAAAGGATAGCGTGCTCTGAAAACATGGGCAAAGTCTAACTTCCCTGCCCTACTTTCTGCCCCATCTCTTTATTGTCTTCTATTCTTCTGAGCCAGAAGAACCCCAGAGCCAACCTGTGGCACCTGCTGGCCCCTCTCCCTCTGTGGAGCAGGTAGATGGATGCCCTTTGGGTTATCCACTGTGAGGGATGGGCACAGACTTTCTGCAGCTGGTGGTGCTCTCCCTGCTCTGCTGCCTCCTCTACAGGTGAACACTTTTTCCAGTTCAGCATCATTAAAGCTTTCTGCATCTCGGCTTCTGCCTCCACATAATCCTTTTCTTGGTGGACATTGGAAAAAAGGCATTGCTTTGGGTGGAGGGGTGTAAGGGGGGGACACAAGCATCCCAGAGGGAGTGAAGGGTGGGACACAAGGCAATAAAGTCACTTCCAGTCTCTGTCCTTTTGAGCTGTGGAAGACATACTCATCTCCTCAATAGCTAGTGGCCATCAGGCCCTGCATTCCGGCACCTCTGCTTACATGCAGCCTCTTGGCCTCAGAGCATGTCCTGTAGATGGGGAGGCTGACCACTGCTATCCCCTAGAGAGGAGCCTAGTGCTGCTGGAGCCTCTGAGAAGTCATCAGCTCACAGGCTTGTGGGGAAAAGAGTTCTTCCTGGTTTGGATGGCCCTGTGCTGGGAAAAGAGATTTGCCAGGAGATGGCCCCAAAGGATGCAGGAGTGGGTCTTTGTGCTATTTCTAGCCAGGACAGAGTTAATTTTTTTCACAGTAGCTGGTAAGAGGTTATGTTTTGGATCTGCACTGAGAAGAGCACTGCTAACATTGTTTTTTTTCAGTTGTCACTAAGGAGTGTTTGCAACAATTCAAGGAATTTCTCAGCTTCTGTTACAGCACCTGTGTTCCCAGCTTTCTTGCTACAAGCAGCAGTGACACACACACACACAGTTCAGACAGCTAACCCAAACTGACCAAGGGAGTATTTAATTCTATTAACTGTCATGCTCAGTATATAAGATGGGGGTGGGCTGGGGGATTATTTGTTACTGATAAAGAATAGTCATTCTGGATGCCATCTCCAAGCATCTGGAGGAAAAGAATTTTATCAGGAGTAATCAACATGGATTCACCAAGGGAAAATCTTGTTTGACCAATCTAATAGCCTTCTATGATGGTGTGACTAGCTGGGTGGATGAGGGGAGAGCAGTGTATGTTGTCTACCTCAACTTCAGCAAGGCTTTTGAGACTGTCTCCCATAACATCCTCATAGATACATGTAGCTGTAGACACCAATAATGTCTCCCTTGAGCCTTCTTTTCCTAAGGGAAAGGGCCATTTCCTCAGGATCTCAGCATGTCATGTTCTTAAGACCCTGAGTACCTTGGAGGCTTCCACTGGACTTGCTCCCATGTCAGAACCTTTCCTACACACCAGGAGCCCCAAACTGAACACAGGACCCCAGGAATGGTCTCTTGAGTGCCAAACAGAGGAGAAAGATCCCTTCTTTAGGTGTGCTACCTACACTTTTGATAAGACATCTCAGAGTGCCATGGATCTGCTTTGCCGTCAGAGCACACTGCTAATCCACCTTCACCCATTGGCCACCAGGCATCCCCTGCCTTCCCAGCTGTCTGACATATAACCTCTGCCTCCAGCACAGTCCAAGATACATCAAGAAGCTGAAAGGTGTCTGTCCCCAGGGGAACTCGTTGCTCTTGACTCAGGCCTTTGGAGAAAAATCCTGGTTTGTTGTGTCCTACCTGGATGGTGTCTTCTGGTGGAACTGCAGCACAAATGCTTTCTGCATGTGATCTCTAAAGCAAAAAGGTATTTCAGCTTTGCCTGGTTCCATATCCATCTGTCACTTCATCAGCTTTCTCACTGGGCTCATTCTTCATCTCACTTTCTGTAAGGTACCGACAGCTGATCCATATATCTGAACAGTCTGATATTGCAGGATCAAGGTTCTCTCAACTCCTAGATACAAAGCAAGAAAAAGTCATTCCTTCCTTGGACTAATTTGGCCACAAAATAAATCACAATAGCAATCGTTTCCTGCCAAGAGCCTTTCTTTCCAACAGTGGCCATCACTGGATGTTGAGGGACGCATAAGAGCAATACAAGCACGTAGGATACTTCTGCTGAGTATCCCCTCCTGTGTCCCAAGGCCCTAGGCCTCAACTTGGCTGAAAAAGTCACACCCATGTATGTCTCAACATACAGCTTTCCTCACTGGCACACAGGCTGGGGAGCCATAGATTGTGACACAGATTATGTTGCCCTCTGTTTTACAGACAGGGCCCATCCATCCCTTCAAGTACCCACATGGACAACACCTGGCTGCTTGTGCTGCACTGGGCTCTAAGACACAACCACTAAGGCAAGCATGCTGTCTGGACAGTTTGAAGCAAATCCAAAGAATGCCTGGAGAAGGAATCCTTTGCCAGTTCAAGACAGGGACCTCTGCAGTTGCAGAAGCCATGTTTCTCTCTCTGCTTCTGAATCCTGGGAGCATGGATTTCAAAAACCTGAGTGAGCTACTAAAGCCGCACATGTATCCCTGGGGACCAAAGGGCAGAGGACTTTCCTCTTAGGGCCCTAAATGTGTCTTTACAAAGGGGGTCCAAACTTTCATCCTATCTCTGAGACTTCACCAGCACTCCAAAAGACACTGTATTTGGTGTGGAAGGAAATTCTCTACAACAACATGCTCTGGAACCTATGGAGAAAGCCTGAAGGTTTCAGTCATCCCTACATAATTTTCTCATGTCTGTGTTGAGCTTGAACTCCTGATATTGTGAGAAGGCCTCTGAGCACTGAAAGAGACCCACTGGGGGAAAATGATGGAGGTTCTTAGGAAAAGCCTGATGCAGAGATTCTGAAGTTGATGTCTAGCTGTTGACAGTTTTGATGTCAATGCTAGTGACTGGCAGTGGGGGAAGCCCCCTGGGGCCTGTAGCTGGGTGGGGCTAGGCAGAGTGAGGCAGGCAGAATGACAGCACCCTCCAGTGGGCCTATTCAGGTCTTTCATAGAATCATGGAATCACATATTCATAGAATTATAAAATGGTTTGGTTTGGAAGGGACATAAAGATTATCTAGTCCAACCCACCTGCCATGGGCAGAGACATCTGTCACTAGGTCAGGCTGCTCAAAGCCCTCTGCACCCTTGAACAATTCTGATGATGGGGCATCCACAACTTTTTTGGAGAACTGCTTCCCGTGACTCACCACCCTCATCGTAAAATATTTGTTCCTTACATGCAATATAAATCTACCCACTTTCAGTTTAAAAACATTACCCCTTTTCCTGTCACTACAGGCCTTGGTAAAGCGTCTCTCCATCTTTCTTTTAAGACCCCTTTAAGTAATATTAGTCTGGCTTTTGAAGACAGGGTATTTATCTTAAGGCAAGTTCATCATGACAGCCTCCACTCTGGTGTCCCAGCTGCAGCATTTGCAGCTGCAGGCCATCTGGCTCACCCCAGACACACAACCCTTCAGCTGCTATGTGAGCATGTCAGGGCAGCACCTCTTCCTGCATGGAAGCTGGAACCAGTCCCAGACCTCCACAATAATCGTACAGTGATCACCGTGGTGAGCCAGAGCTTGTCAGACTTCAGGATTATTTTGACTTGTAAAGTGGAGAACACTTGGAGCTGCAGCAATAGGGATGGTCTCTAGCTTTGATTTTCTCTGTCATGAATGGAGTTTATATGTGAAGAGGCTGAATATCCAAACAAGACTCTGCAGCTTGGACCCCAATACATCTTCTCTCTTTCCTGTAATGAGGACACAATTGGTTGAATCACTTCTGTCCAACCCACAGAAGCCCCAAAGCCATCTGCTGTCATTAAATCCAACAAGGGTGGATGGTGCCTGACTTACCTTGTTAGCGCTGGACTTCCAAGGACTTGCCTAAAGTTGTCAGGGGCACAGAGGTTGGGAGCTGGCCGGTGGAGTCCTGGCTGTCTGCATGTGGGGAGAGGCTGTGCTTCCTCATGTGCATGTGTATCTCCCTATGCCTGTGGGCGTATTTGTGCCTCTGTGTTTGCAGTTGTATGTTCATTTTCAAAAACACATGTGAGAGTGAGTGTCTGACAGTGTGTGAGTGAACAAGTGCATTTCTCTGTGTGTCTGTGTGTGTGTACACACATTTTTGCAGATGAGCAAGGAAGTGTGTGTGAGTGGGCACATGTGTGAGCAGATGTTTGTACAGATGTGCATGTATATGTCTCTGTGTGTGTACATGCCTATATATCTACCTACGTGCAAGTATGAGTGTGCAAGTGCATATAAGCATGTGTGAACATCTAGGTGATGACATGTCCTGGGGAGTTAATGTGTTTGCATCCACAGGGGTTCCTGTGTAACTGGGTGTGCATGAACATGTGTTTTCAAGCATGCTCACGTGAGGAAATGTTTGTGTTTGTGCAGGCCCATCTGTGTGCTTCCACTTCTCTCTGTGTACAAGGGCTTACGTGCATCTGTTCACATGCATGCTTGTGACTGCACACACCTGTCCACAGGTGTGGACATGTGCGTGTATGGATGTGAGCACCTTTTCATGTGCATCTGTGTGTATGTGGCTGTGCAGTTCCTTCTGTTCACTTGTGGTGTCAGTGGGTGAGAACTAAATGAGAACAGGAGTCCAACTGAAACCTGCAGTGAATTCTGGTCACAGGAGCAAGCTGCAGTAAATGTCCACATTTGCCTGGGATTGCTACACCATCCCTGCTGGATGTTATCTGAGAAAGAGCTGCTGTGCTTGCAGTCATGTTTGCTAAGAAGCAG